GGTTGTCAAGGGATTTGCTCAACAATATGGAGTTGATTTTCAAGATACATTTGCACCCGTGGCTAGGCATGATACAATTAGGTTGCTACTTGCTTTGGCGGGACAATTTGGGAGGAAAATCTTTCAATTGGATGTCAAGTCTGCATTCTTGAATGGTTGGGTCAATGAAGAGATTTACATTGAGCAACCGGAAGGGTACCAAGTCAAAGGCCAGAAGAACAAAGTGTATCTTTTAAGGAAGGCTTTGTATGGCCTAAAGCAAGCTCCTAGAGCCTGGTACAGTAAGATAAATGACTATTTGATCAGTTTGGGTTGTTTGAGGAGTCCGAATGAGCACACCTTATATGTGAGAGAGTTGGAAGGAGAATTGATTATTGTCTCACTCTATGTAGATGACCTTCTCATCACTGGAAGCAGTCCAAGTCAGTTGAATGAGTTTAAGGAAGCCATGCATTGTGAATTCAAAATGACAGACCTGGGGAAATGTCCTACTTCTTCGATATGGAAATCAATCAAGCTTCATGTGGGATTTTTGTCAATCAAAGGAGGTATGCTAAGGAAGTTCTTAAAAGGTTTGGCATGGGTAAGTGCAAATCAATGGATACTCCATTGGTTGCCAATCAGAAACTGAGCAGAGAAGATGGCGCTATGAAGGTAGATGAGGGTCTGTACAGAAGCTTAATAGGCTGTTTGCTATACTTAACAGCAACCAGGCCTGATTTAATGTTTGCAACAAGTCTTCTCTCTAGGTTTATGAGCAACCCGAGTGAAATTCATCTCAGGGCAGCCAAAAGGGTGCTGAGATACATTAAAGGCAGTCCTAAATTTGGTGTTTGGTTTAAGAGGTCTGAAAATTTTCAGCTTGTTGGATACTCAGACAGTGATTGGGCTGGATCCATTGATGATATGAGGAGTACTTCCAGCTATGTATTTTTCTTGAATTCATGTGCTATTTGTTGGCTGTCCAAAAAGCAGGAAACTATAGCTCAGTCCACAGCAGAAGCAGAATACATTTCTGTTGTTGCTACCGTGAATCTAGTCATTTGGCTTAGGAAAATTCTGAATGATTTAAAGCAAACTCAGAGGAGGCCTACTATGATCCTTTGTGATAATCAGTCTGCTGTAGCAATGGCTAAAAACCCTGTCTTGCATGGTCGTACGAAGCACATTAAAATTAAGTTTCATGCAGTAAGGGAGGCTGAAGGAAATGGAGAAGTTGAGCTGGTCCATTGCAGGGGTGAAAACCAGGTGGCAGACATTATGACCAAAGATTTATCCAAAACCAAGTTTGAAGATTTAAGGCTCAAACTTGGTGTTTTTAGCAAAAAAATCAAGGAGTGTTGAAGCAGGTGATATTTTGCTGGAAATGTAGGAAATTCTGTCAGTATTTTTTAAAGTCCTTTCGGCGACAAGAGTTCAAAGTGGTTGTTCTGGCTGCAGTAGTTAGAGCTGCTGTGTTGATGGATTTTGTGATGTAATTTGTGATAGGTTTAGTTGAAACCTGCAGTGTTTAAGTGTTGTATTAGACTGACATAAACTTGTATGAGTTGAATGTATTTAGTTTAAATTCAAATCTGTAAAAATCTCCACTATATTAGGTGAAACAATGGACAAACTTTGTATAAAAAGCCTCTGTTTTTTTAATGCAAAATAGAATATGTTTTCCAGCCAACGTTTCTCTCTCTTTCATCAGTTTTTTCTCCTTTGTATTCTCCAGCAAAACCAACAGTTGCATGTCTGCATTAGTAATGAGTTTTGCTGTAGGAGGTGCTGTGGTGGGGTGGGAAGGAGAGGGACAGTACGAGGAGAGCATGCGATAGTGGAAGGAGGCCAGCAATTGAACGGCTTGCGGGAGTCTACGAATTTCTCTTCTTGAAGTTTAGCAAGTGCCATTGCCTTGCGAATTGAATTGGGCTCCAAGGCTTGGACTTCACATCAAATATCTGGGTGGAGAGCGACCATGAGGATGCTAAGAAGATATTGGTCGAGAAGACTTGGGAGTTTGTTGGAGCGGAGTTCGAAGTCAGAGATATACAATTGAATAGAGTCGTGTTGGCTGAGCTTCACCAAGGTGGCCATGTGGTCGACGAAGGGAGAGTCGCCAAAACGAGTTTCTAACTCAGTAGTGAATCGATCCCTGGTAGGAGGCAAGTTGCGAGAAGAGAACCATTGCCACCAAGCCTAAGCTTGGCCATCTAAATGGTAGGATGCAATCTGGACACGCTAGTGAGGTGGAATTTGATGGAAGAGAAGAACTTGGGCAGCCTTGTGTAGCCAAGGGGAAGGATCGGCGCCATCAAAACGTGGATAGTCGAGGCGAAAGCGGGAAGTCGTGGCAAGGGTATGTTCCGGAGTAGTTCGGGAAGTGGGTATCACTTGTGTTTGGGAATTGGGGGGGTGGTGTGGTGTTGTTGTTGGGTCAAGGTGATTTTCTGTAGAGTGGAAGCTAGGTGGACGACTTGTTCTACGAGAGAAGATAATTGTGTTTGGAATTGAGCTTCAAGGGAGTTAACTTGAGATTTAGTTTTGCTGTGGAGCTCTAGAAAAGTCGATTTGAGCTCCTTGATTTCGGACATATTCTGTTGCAGCTTATTGTCAACGACCTTGAAGCGGGTGCCTTCTGCCAATTTGGGAGAAGGACAACGAAAGCACCAATTTGATGGGCAACAAGCAAGAGTCTCTAATTCAAGGTAGAGAAACCTCCGAGACTAGGAAGAATGAGAGTTGAACAAAAGATACACTTCTATTCCTTTTTTATAATAATGAATACAAAATTCAACTTAAATGCAGTCATGCAGTTCTAGTATTTAAATACTAAAACAATACGTAAATTAGTTGGCCTATTCTTTAGGAGATATAATCTCTCATGCGCACATGTGGCTGGCCTATTCTCTTGCCACTAATTTCTTGCACATTTCCATGAGGGGGAAGACTTGTTGACTGCTTGGGCTGCAAGTTCTATGGGAAGAGAAGGTGGTCAGCTACACCCTTTTCCCGCGGCCATTTAGCCCTGAAAAACCTTGTATCCGCCACCGCAATATCTTCCATTCTGCCACACAAAACCAACTACCAAAACCCTCTCAAATTACTTGACTTTTTCTTCATAATATCACCATCTCTTGAAACTTTCTTCCAATGATAGTAAAACCTCTTGCCACTAGAGTTTTTCGAAAAGCTGATCCAGTCGTTTGGCAATACTTTCAATCTCGTAAGGATCAAGAATAGGGTTATTATCATCAGTATGGATTTGGCTGGAATTCTGAGAGGAGGGTTGTACGTGTGTTACTATGATCTTCCTTTGTGATTTTCATGGCTTCCAGTTTGTAAAGTAAGGTTTTGGAAGTCGTCACACTCTCGTGATGTCGAATTTGCCCATAGGTTCGCCCTCAAAGTCGGAACCATGTTGATACCACGCCTATGCAGCTGCTTTTATTATCGATAATTCATCTGTGGTGGAAGCTTGAGGCTTTTTTCTTGCCATGAGAATTAAAGATTGAGAAGATGGATGGGGAATAGTTTGTTAATGAGAAGGAATATGTGGAAAGATCAAGTTCCACGCTACGAAGAGAAAGGTGAGAGTGATGTTTATTTAGTAGAGTGTAAAATTGTAATTGGAGATGTATATTGTAGTGAAGAAAAGGAAGTAATCTTCATGAAAAATTGTTTGTGGGCTAAAATGGCCCGGTGGTGTTGTCAAAATTGAATACTTGAAGTTGTGTTAGGTAAGAGTTGAGCGAGGTCCTTAATAGTGCTCTTTCTTTCCAAGACTTTGTAGCGAATGAAAAGTGAAAACAACTTTCTCGTTTGTCTAGATTGAAGATTGATTATTCTTTCTTGTAAAAATATGTACCATCAAAAAAATTTGGAAAGAAGCAATAATCAACTTTTTCTCCATCAAGATTTCCTTCTTCTAAAAGATAAAGAAATAATGCCTTTGAAATTTCTCAGGTTCAGATTTGAATTATGAAGAAACATTGTCCTATATAAGTCGGGCAGGTTTGTAATTAAAGGGAAGTGAGGACTGAGGAGACAAATATTGCTTTCAGACCGAGGATGGAATGGCCTCTCTCTAGAATCACTCCCCCCATTTTATTTGGTTTTATCTTTTCAACTCTTAACGAGTTTGTGTAAATATTATGAATATAAACTTGATTAGGATATTATCTTTGGACATATATTGATTAAGGGCAGTATAAGTAAAATAATTAATGTAAGGATGGAATAAACTTCCTATGTATATTGTATAGTAGATTTCACCTTTATGTAGATATGTGACGTAATAATACTCTTAAACCAATAAGTAGGTTGCTTGATTTGATTTTAAAAATATTAGCCTTATTTACTCCTCCTACTCACTTCTCTTACTCACCTTTGTTAAAATAACATATGGTACCCGTACTATGTTTATGATACTCATACTATGATTTATATTTACAAAGGTAAATAAGAAAAATGAGTAAGACTATCATTAGTCTTGATTTTAAGTGTCTGTAAAAATGATTTCCATTCCACTTATTACTAATTTTATAAAGAAAAATCAAATTCCTTTTTAACAAACAGAATAACGAGAGTCCCATTGGAAAAACACACACACAAATGACAATAATGTAAATCTGTGTGCTTTACCATATTTTTCTTTTTTATTTTAGTCAACTATGAAGCAAGTCCTGTTCACGATAATTTACAATTTATGGTATTTTCTTCTTTTTTTGGGTAAAACTAAAAAGTATAAATCCAGATAAGAGACTTTTCCTTTGGTTCAATAACAAAAAAATAGTGAATTCTCAATTTCTTAAACAGAAACTCAAGCTTTAGAGAAAGGCAGATGTCAAATGAAGAATGAGATCTAGTAGTAAAAGTAGGTCAACATAGCATTATGGCCAGCATATATATGTTTGTTCAAAACAAATTCACACAGCATGCATAATATATGTAACATAATTAACTTGTCAGTTAATTTTGTTACAAAAGTGAACCATGCATATATGTTTTGAGAGAGCGAGGGAGAAGCAGCCGTTTTTTATAGGAAAATACATAAAATAAGAAAATATTAATGTCATACATCTTAATACTCCTACTAAGCTTTAAGGCAAGGCGTTCAAACCAGTGTTCTAAAACAAACAATCAAAAATGCTTACCTAAATCACATATTATGGAGTCCATAGATAAGACAGTAGCAGCATTTCCAAAATGCAGCAGTTGAAATCCTTAGTCAAGTAAATCAGACACTGCTGTCTTCCTAAACGGGTCGACGTGAACTAAATCTGCTGCCAAAGCCTTATTTGGGAATATATTATCTGCTTTCATTCTCTCCCTCATTCCATAAGCTGGAGCCTTGGCTTTTATATATGCTTGGATTAAAGTTTGGAATTGCCGGAGTCGAGACATATAACCAACCTGTCTCATCCTATGAAACAGTTTTTCAGTATTATGGATATCACCCCGCTTTGCATATTGCTCCATGATGAGCACATAAGAACTGAACATTGGCTTCAATTGATTTTGCTGTGCTGCCTTCTGCAGAATAGAGTCAGCCTTTTCCAACTCTCCTGCTTCCACATGAAGCTTTATGAGTGCATCCCAAGTCAATGGTCCAATTCGGCAACCACTATCTGCCATTTGCTTAACCAAATCTTTTCCTTTGGCTAGCATCTTATGGTTTGCATAAACCTTCAACAGGGCAGAATAATTCCTTGAAGAGAGCTTATTCCATGTTTTTAACATTCTATCAAAAACTGCTTCTGCTTCTTCAATTTTCTTCAGCTTTCCCCAAGCTTCAATAGCTGCCACACACTCCGGAAGCCGTGGATTTGCTTCGCAGAATTTCCAAAGTCTCCCCACCTCATCAGCCTTCCCTAGCTCTGCATAAAGAGGAAGCAAAAGCCGGCATGCCCAACGGTGCTCCTTTAGGTTGCCTCCTTCCATCTCTTTCAACATAGACTCCGCTTTTTCTTTCAGCCCAGCAGAAACATAGTGCCTGGCCAAGATGGCTTGTGTGCGAATGTCAAGTTCCATGCCTTCAGCCTTCATTGTCTCAACAATTTGATCCATCCCAGTTATGTCATTGGATTGACCTTTGGTGTCTATTAAGATTTTGTAAGTGAAGAGAGAGGGCTTGACATTTTCTTTCTCCATTAACAATAAGACATCAGCTATTTTCTTTTTGTCAACTTTCTTATAAAGAAGGAGCAACTGGTTGCATGCAAATGAGGTAATTGGAAATTCTAGGTCCTTCATTTTGTTGAAAATTTCTTCTGCTTTCTGCACATTGGTGATAGCAACACAGTTGGCCAGCAAGGTTCGGTAGATTACCTCCCCTCTGAAAGATTTTGGGATCTTCTGAATATATTGTTCTGCCTTCTGGATGCCACGTATCTTTGCAATCAAATCAACACGAGAAGCATAATCTCGCTCAACAAATTCAAGCTGCTTCTTTGCCTCCAACCACTCTGAGAGCTATAATATCAACAAATTGTTAATTCTGCGCTAAATCCAAGATAGGGATAAAGAGCACTGTGCCTTCCCAAAATAACATGAATCAGACCAACAAATACATATACGAATATTTACCACAATCTTTAAACATATTATGAGAAAAATTGTGAATCATTAGATCTATGCACTTTTGTCCGTTTATATTATATTTGACATCATTAAATGTTGCAGTCTAATGGTTCACACTTGGTATCATAATTTGCATAAAAATTACAGCCACACACACACGCACACAGACACGCACGCACACGCACACGCACACGCACACGCACACTGACACACACGCGGACGCGCACGCGCACGCCCACGCACGCGCACGGACGGACGCACGGACACACACACACACACATCATAACATAACTCAAACATGTTAAACTTCTATAAATGTGGATTAACACAAGTACTAACTCTTATAAACCAACAAACTTCCTATTCAATTACTTGCCATATCCTGAATGGTGAATAACAAAGAAACCAGAATAAGTTCAATTTCATTCCTCTTTTTACAAACCCTCAACTAATAGTGAATGACATTCTCTGCAGTTATATATCTCGTTCCTTATCCAAATAAATACATGAAGCAACCTAAACTTATGCATTTTTCTCACAGCCCTTTTGTGAACCAATAACCAATAAAATTCTCTGCACTTTCATATCCAATTCCTTATCTAAAATAAATATACAGAACAACCTAAGAGCAAGCATTTTTACAAGATATCACAGCAGCACTTTGATGCATGAAGAACAGAACGAAAAATCATATATCTAATATCAAACCCATACAAGTCAATTCTAAGGAATAATTTATGACAGAGAATATTACTAGAGAATGGTGAAAATCGAACCATAATGTAACAGCTGTATTTGAAAATTTTTCAACAGCAGAAACATGTGTATGTATACACACAAATGAATAACATATGGCCATGTGGCATATGAACATACACTACATATACAAGAACACAGCTAAAATACGATGGCTATGCAATCTATGGAAGTACACACAAACACCATAGATATCGGTGGCAGAGACAATAATACAATAAATGACAGCAATAGCTATAAAATTCATATGTCAAGATAGCATTATGTCAATCACCTGCAAGGCCCTCCCATACATTCGACGTTTACGAAGATTGAGCATGGCCATTGAAATCTCCTCACGGCTCAAATCTTTTCCTTCTTCAACAAACTTATCAAGGGCACTACTAATGGACAGACCTGGAGCAGCAAGGATGGTTTTGAAGAGCTCTGAGAAACTCCTATTCTTTCGCGAAGTTTTCTTTGTTGGATCACTCTCAGTATCAAATGATTCTAGATCACTTTGAATGGGATCTTCGATATCCTCATTATCACCAGATAGCTCTGGCTCAGAAATTAATCCGTCATCGTTTTCAACCTCAACATTGTTCTCTTGCACTGCCTCACTAGCAGGTGTTTCAAGTTCTGAAAACCCTTCTTCCAAGTCATCTTCCTCTCCACTGCTTTTCGTACCAGCTAGGGAGGAAAGGCCACGTCTTCCAACGGAAAAATTTGAAGAAGAATATGATGAATGGTAAAATCTCAGTGAGGATAAACCTCTATCAGAAACAGCACGAGGAAACTGGAGAATACTAGCCACATCTTCTGCACAGAAACATAAAGATAAGGATATTAAAGCCATATTGAAAACTAAAACTCTTTAGAATCAAACCAACACACATAATCAACAGCACCAACGTTTCAAAAACAATAACTTCAAAAACCAAACAATTAAAAAAACCAGCCAAAATCTACATGATAAAATCATAAAAGCCAGAAATGAAACAGCATATATAAAATAAATAAAAACTTATTGATCGACTGTGATGACAGATTATAACCAATATCCTGACTCTAACATAGAAATAAGATTAATTACACTATTTCTGATTATGGAACTAAATAAAAAATAAAAAACCTATAATCATATATTAGAGGAACTTAAATATAAAAAAATATAGTCGAAGAACCAAAATCGAACCGGGAAGAGCAGGCATGGCGCAAGAAGCAACAGGCTTGGCAGGATTGGGGAAGTGACCCCAGGCCCCGCCGACGAGGGCTTCGGCCGCCGAAGATTCCGATGATTGGAGTTCAGTTTCAGTGACAATAGAGCGCGCACACATTCTAAAATTAGAAGACTTGAGGGGTCTCATTGCCCTTGAAGCCAACAAACCTAAACCCATTTTTTTTCTCTGCTCGCTCAGTTGTTTTCAGTTGAGAGGATTGAAATGTATTAGGGTTTAGGGTTTTGCTGCTAAGTACTAAAATTGTTTATAAGTTTAGCCGACTCCTGTTTTAGGTGTGGGCTTCAACTTGTACTGGACTGGGCTATTCTTGTTTTTTAATTAGGCCCAACTTAGTTATGCAAATAAGGAGTGTTTGGGTCTAGGTTCAAGTAAAGTGATATTTTTTTTTCAAGGGTTTTTTATTGATCCTTGAGGTTTAATAAAATAACAAAATTCCTAATGAACCATTTAAATTTATAATATGATCAGTTAATTAACATTATCAAATTGCTATTTATCATATTTTAACCATAAGGAGATTTTTTGTATCACTATAATTACAAGATTTTTATCAATTAATAATTGATAATCACGAGTTCAAGTATTAAAGCTCAAAATTGTATTTTAAATTATTGTATAATTGATTTAAGATTTGGTAAAGAGGGATAACAACATTAAAGATTTGAAGGTTCATTCATATAATTGAAGACTAGGGTTGTGTGTAAAAGGGTTTGGTTGATTTGGTTTTTGCCAAATAAAATTGGTTCAATTCCAGAATTTAACATTTTACTACATAAATGGGAAAGAAAAAATTAAAATTTTGACATTTGATTTGTCAATATACATATTACCCATATACACATACAATAGCAAGGTGAGCCACTTTGAAAAAGCAACTTCCTAAATATATTTTACAAAATCAACAATAAGCATCCCATTTTGTTTTCTAATCAAAATTCTTCATATTATTTAAGTCCAGTTAGCAAATATTCAAATACAAAAATTCATAACCATGGGCCACTTTAATAGGGAATAGGGATATTTCTTACCTGCCACAATAGGATGTCATTATTCAGCGAAATGCAACTTGAGCTACTTTCCATCTATTTTAAAGGTGCGTTTGTTTTCATATTTTATTCTTATTCTAAATCAAAATGTATATTTGTTTCTCTATTATCAAAATCTTATCATAAATTATTTAACCATTTTTAATTTTCAAATCCTGCTTCGTAATAACCACTCAACTCTACTAACAATAATATTTCAAAAATACTACTCCAAATAACTAAACAAGGGTTTATTTCTTTATCCTATTTTTATTCTAAATCAAAATGTATATTTGTTTCTCTATTCTCAAAATCCACTCAATTCTACCTAATAATAATATTTCAAAAATATTACTCCAAATAACTAAACAAATGAATGTGTATGAGTCAGGATTTACTTACATATAATCAAAATGTGTCACAATCAAACAACTTGAAATTGTCATGAAATCATTTTACGATATAGATAAAATTGTGTATATTTTATTACTCCCATTGGCCCAAACCTTCCAAGTGAGTATGAGCCGCAATTTACACACATATAAGCGAATTTTATCAAAATCAAACAACTTGAAAATGCTACAAAAAGTTTCCATAAGAACTTTAGTGATTCATAATCATTGATTGGCGGAATTCTAATTACACTTAAACTTTTTGAATGAGCATAAGACATGATTTATCTGGATGAAATCGAATTGCATCACAATAGCACATCTCAAAAATGTTACAAAAGTTTTTAACAAGAAGTTTTGCGGCTCATAATCATAGAATTTAGCAATTACAATTATGACAAAAGTTATTAATAGAATTATGATAATCAAATGTATATACACATATATACACATACATACACCCACATATAGACATGCAAACGAGCCGAGCTGCTCAAGCTTGAGCTTGAGCTCGAGTTTAATAATACTCTATTCAAGCATCTTGCGAGCTTACTTGAACTCGATATATTATATAATATTTTAATTTTATATTAAAATTATATATAAATTAAAATAAATAATAATTAAAAATTGAGCTAGGTGATTTGAACTCAAGTTCAAACTTAATTTTGAATCGATTACATCAAAGTCGAGTTCGAGCCAATCATATATCTATTGCAGAAATCAATTAATCAGTCTTTAAACCATTAGATCACTATAAATTAATCAATAATACCAACTAATCAGTCTTTAAACCATTGGATCATCATAAATGAATGATCATGAATTTGTATTACAATAGCTTGACTCACAATTATGAATAAATCTTTAAATTATGGGTTAGATTGTAATAACTTTAAAACTTTTACTAAATTATAGAAACTTTTTGAAATAAACAAAATAAGTTGTTATAGTTTAACAATTAAAAAAAAAAAGTAATGCTACATATACAAACTATTCTCTATTAACTAATGTTCCAACCTTGCATATATGACATTTCATCAACCCTTATTGTTTAAGTTAATCTCTAATTCAAAATCACCTAAATCATATTAAAACATATAGAATTATTGTGAAAATAGGAAACATACTGAAGAGAAAAGTAAAAGGAGATTGCTTATGGGCCGGGAGGCAAGCCCTACTACGGCCGTTGAATCAAAGCAGAGTCAAGTAGTTGGGTGGATTCACCTCGACAATTTCAGGACAAACGAGTCTGGGCTCAATTTAGGGAGAATTGGAAGACCTTAATTTTTGTAAATTATAGAAATATATAGTGAAATGAAAGTGAAGAACCAAATTGTTCCAGAATTTTGGTGGTGTTGCATGTGATGACAAGTCGAATGGTGACCCGCCTCCACTCATTGTTTCCAGTATTAGGATTAGGATTAACACCTACCACATGAATCATGATCCTACATCTCATTTCTTCTCCTCTTCATGTTATCCTTGTGCTTCTACCCACATATATATTTTATTTCTCATTCTCATGTGTAAATGACTTAGACATAGGTTTAGGCAGCGACGTATTTATAAACTCATTCTAGAGGGTTAATACCTTAATTAAACTTAATAATATAATTGTAAATAAACTTATAATAAATAATATATTGGGTATAAGTTATACAAAAATATAAGTATTTATTGATAATGCTCTTTATAATAGGGTTGTTTTTGACGATATGGAATAAATTTTTAATACTTTAACTAGTGTGAAACAAAATCAAGAAAATTTACTGATAAACAAGTTATTAAAAAACACAAATAACAACACATCCAAATTAAACTACAATAAAATTTCTACTAATAAAATATTCAAAGATTTATCTAGCTTCTATAGTAAAATATTATAACTTTTGTTGAAATTTTACTTTTCTGCTTCGATCCCTTAAAATAATGCATCAAAATACAGATTTTTAATATTTATTTTTTTTCTAACTTTAATATTTTGATATGAGCATCCGTGATAATGTAGATAATGTGAGTAGTCTAGATAGTTAGAACGAATTAGAGATAATGTGGATAGACACACGATCTCAGGTTCGATTTTCCATCTGAGCATCCGTAGTTTAAGTAGAGGACCATGACGGTGAATTATAAGTTAGCCTATATATATTGATATGACTTTTTTTTAAGTAAAAAGTATTGAAACACAAAATAATTTATAGTAGTTTAATTTGATAAACAAGTTTTGGAAATGATATTTATTTTATAAAATATATGAAAAAATATATAAATTTTTTTCATTTTGTTCTTTGTACAATTAAATATATGATATAAAATTCATTATATAATTTATTAAATGTATTTGTAAGATTTTTTTTTTTTTTTGTNTCGTACATCTCATTTCTTCTCCTCTTCATGTTATCCTTGTGCTTCTACCCACATATATATTTTATTTCTCATTCTCATGTGTAAATGACTTAGACATAGGTTTAGGCAGGGACGTATTTAGAAACTCATTCTAGAGGGTTAAGACGTTAATTAAACTTAATAATATAATTGTAAATAAACTTATAATAAATAATATATTGGGTATAAGTTATACAAAAATATAAGTATTTATTGATAATGCTCTTTATAATTAATATATTTAGGGTTGTTTTTGACGATATGGAATAAATTTTTATTACTTTAATTAGTGTAAAACAAAATCAAGAAAATTTACTAATGAACAAGTTATTGAAAAACATAAATAACAATACCTCCAAATTAAACTACAATATAATTTCTACTAATAAAATATTCAAAGATTTATCTAGCTTCTATAGTAAAATATTATAACTTTTGTTGAAATTTTACTTTTCTACTTCGACCCCTTAAAATAATGCATCAAAATACAAATTTTTAATATTTTTTTTTTCTAACTTCAATATTTTGATATGAGCATCCGTGATAATGTGGATAATGTGAGTAGTCTAGATGGTTAGAACAAATTAGAGATAATGTGGATAGACACACGATCTCAAGTTTGATTTTTCATCTAAGCATCCGTAGTTTATGTAAAGGACTATGACGATGAGTTATAAGTTAGCCTATATAACTTATATATATATTGATATGATTTTTTTTAAGTAAAAAGTATTGAAACACAAAATAATTTACAGTAGTTTAATTTGATAAACAAGTTTTGGAAATGATATTTATTTTATAAAATATATAAATTTTCTTCATTTTGTTCTTTGTACAATTAAATATATGATATAAAATTCATTATATAATTTATTAAATGTATTTGTAAGAATTTTTTTTTTTTTTTTTTAAAACTAAGAATTTAATTTGATATATTTGGTGAATTTAAAAGTTATATATATATATATATATATATATTAATTTTTCAAGGTTGACCCTTCTTGACCCCTCCCTCCGTCCCTGGTTTAGGGATGAATAGATATATTTTGATGATCTTCTCCTATTTCTGGTGTGCCTAATTTGATGTTGTTGGGGACCCATCACCATGCCCATGTACTTGAAATCTTCAATATAATATGTGGTCAAAAGAATCATTCATAGATAAGAATATAAATATATATAAAAATAAAAACACATTCAAAAGAAAGAAGACCCACTTGGTATGAATTAAGATGAGGTGGGTCACCAACCTAAAAAGATTCTCCAATTTCTGCCTTTTTTTTTCTAAAATTGCTTCTAATCTTTCTAGAAGCTCAACCTCAACTATATTTTATAAACGGATGAATAGTTAAGGTAGGAAGATGAGCATGACCAAACATACACTTCATTATACATAAAAATAAATAAATAAATAAATAAAATAAAATTGGCCGGCTTTAGTGACATGTTATGTTTCTGGAATAATAATGGAGGTTGGTTGAATTTTGAAAATGACACCGATTTCTTAAATAATAAATATAGTTGGTAAATTTGTTATAAATTATAATTATTTTTTCTACTACGGTCTTCCACTACTACTTAAATGATTAATGATATCACTATTTTCCCTTTTAATATTCTACCCTTATTGCCCATGACATATGCGACGCTACCACCTTGATGTGAAAGCTTCATTTTGGATGAAAGCTATCCTTTACCCACATTTTTGACAATTAACTTACATAATCAAAACTATTTGAAAAGTACTTGTAAGAGAAACTCTTATTACATCTCGTAATCTGTGGATCCAATGACACATTTAATTTTCATCAAGAGAGATTTTATAAAGTATGATGATGAAAATTGTCGTTGTATATTGAATACTCTAACAATATTTTATTGGGTTGAAAAGTATTTTGTTGGTGTAGGCCAATTTTCCTATGGAGATTGTAAGAATGTCCCATTAAGAAAAGTTTAGACAATTAAGTTATATAATGAAAATTATTTAGAGATTATGTAAAATACTTATATAGGATGGTGTTATTATATTTCATACTAATATTTTCTGAGTCATAACCTGTGGATTAAACAATGCATTTTATATCAAGAGAGATTCTGCAAAGTGCGACAATAAAAGTCGTATGTGTTGAATATTTTGATGATATTTTATGGAATTAAAAAGGATTTTGTTAGTGTAGGCCGATTTTCTAGTTTTGATTGCATAAATGTCTATATATTTTTATATAAAATAAGAAACACATATTCTTATTCTTATAATTAGTAAGAAAAGATTATAATTCTTGTGATTCAAAATTGTAAATTTGATACAATATATTCTAAAACGAAGCTTTTTGAGAAGGAAGGTAGAATTTAAAAAAATAATAATAAAGAAGAAATGTATGAATTAGATATGGAAGGTAGGGGAAGTTAGTTACTTTCTGTTCCGCCGAAGTTGACAACAGTAAGTGGAGTAAGTAAGTTGAGGCTCAGTGTTCTAGAATCCCTTCTTTTTAAATAAATAATTAAACAGGTAGAAAGAAAGAAAGAAAATAGAGGAAGACCAAATCATTAAAAATTTGGAAAGATGAAACCGATTTGCATCAATACATCCTTTATTTTGCCTTTTTACCATGAATGACCCCAGCACATCTCTTATTTATACATTATATATAAAAAAATTCATTCAAGATTTATGATAATATTTGAAGGGTTTCTTTTACCAATTTTAGGAGATTTAGGAAACTCAAAATCAATATTATTTTCCTTTTGTTGTTTTTCAATTCTATAAATGTTTAAAAAATATTATAAAATTATCTTCCAATATCTTTTGGTTTGCTACTTTATCGAATAAATTTCACTTTTTCAAATTTTGATCAATTAATATTTTTATATCTTAAAGTTGTTTAGTTAAGTTAACGTGCGAGGGATAAATATGAAATTTTTACAATTATTGAATAGAAAATTGATCATCATAATATTTGTTTAATTGCTATCAAAAATCACATTCTATGACATTATTGATTCTAGTTGGACTAATGTATATTGTTTTATATAATCAAGTAGATATTGTCTACGTTAAAAGAGTTCTTTTGGCTAACATTCAATGTCAAGAAATAACGACACTTAAAAGTTCTTCCATCGCATGTCATATAACTAGGCAATGGAAAATTGAAGAATCTCGATCAACATTTTCCAAACTCTATTAAGTACTGTTGCTACACATACTTGCTCGTGACTTAAATGGTTATTATATTTTTAAATTTAATTTTCAAATAACTTAATTACTTTATTTTATATCTTAAAATGTATTGATATAAAAAGATTTCATTGAATTAATAAATATTGCATATAATTTCTTTAAAAAAAAATTATATTTAAATGAATTCTTTTTAATGTGTATGTTAAATGCTTTTGAAATATATGATTTTCATAAACAAATATAAGTTTGCTTGTATGAATATTTTGTGAGAAGATGGTGGAGTTGATGGTTTCTCAAATGTCATAAGGGAAATTTTGATGTACTAATAATGACTTGGGTTTAATTTGGATAAAGTCAATGACATAATGTCAAGGACAAGGTACTATAAAGTTGAACAATTTTTGAGAAAACGTGCTAAACTTTGTACTAACTAATCAATTTCAAGAGCACAAAGGAAAATTTGCCCAAATTTTATAAAGCAATTGACCAAAAGATCTCTACTTATTTTCCAAATTTGCGACTGAAGTTAAAATCCCCAAAAGTGGTAAATGAAATCTATTTGAGGCCATGGTTTCATTGCTTTGGTTTCGAGTTGCAATCTTCTACAATTTTATTTTGACACGAATAGAGTTTCCCAAATATAACTAATTAAATCAAATAGCCTAAGTCTTAATTAAAATAAATAAAACAATTGAAAAAATTGGCCATTAGTTATTGTCAATATCCAATGCGAATGAGTCACTGAAGCATCGATATTACTAATGTACACAATTGTCTTGGATTGATCTAGTCGTTTTTGCTAACATGAGCAGCATAAAAATGTTTTGTTGCAAATGGTAGGGAAAGTTGACGAAACGATTCTTATTTAAGAGAAACTCACCATTTGTATTGTCACTAGCACTAGCGAGACGATTGTTTTAATATTAGCAGTGTAGTGTTCATGAATTTCGACAACACCAATGTTTTATTTTAATTAATCGATAATTATATTATTTCATAGTTATTAAATTTATAAATATTAAAAAAATATTAAAAAAATGTCAAATTACCTACTTCCCTTAATGCATGGTCGATTTTAACGGCAATTACTTGTTAATTGTAAATTTTTTCTAGACAATTTGCAATTCATGTACTTATATTTTGTGAATTTGTTTGAAAATGAGATTCTCTCATAAATAAATAAATAAATAATATTTAAAATTAAGAGAATGTAATATTATGGAGTTTGATTAAAGTTTCAATGTACCATCTTTGCCCAATTAGTTCAAATTTTAAATTAGCAGTGTATATTGGCATTGAATTGTAATGATCTTTTATAGAAAGGGCTAGTCCGACAATAGCTCAAGGTAATCTTCCCTTTTTTCTTTTATTTAATTATTTTAAATGTGACAATGTTCCAATATACGGGGCAGCACACATGATTTATTTAAAAGAAACAGGAAGAACTCTCTTGTAAATTCTTTAAGTTTGTGAATTATTTCACATCTTTTATATATGTGTTTATCTCACGTATTTATGTTATTAACTAGAAATTATCAATTCTATGATTTTTTTATAGAAGAATTTATTAATTAAGCTTTTGCAACATAGTTTACCTTTTAGCTCATATTTACAATTTAAAATTAATCATCCAACAAAATACGAAATTATTGTCTATTCATTTCGTTATAGTAAACCAAAATTCTTATTATTAGTTTACAATAATATCAACAATAGTAGCAGGATGTTGATGTTCATAGTTATTTCATGTTTAGTCCAAAAAATCAAAGAAAAAAATGTGCATCAACATGCTATGTTCTCAATTATACGTTCCTTCAATAAACTTTATTATAATCGAATATGAATGTATTATAACATAGAGGAAATTAGAAAATTCTAAAATAGGAATAATCCTTATGATATCACTTTTTTCTTAAAATCATTATTATCAAAACACTTTCAACGTTACAATTAATTATTTCATGTATAACTAATATATAATGCATCTTGAAACAACATACTGTATATATTAGATATAATTCCAACTATCTAAATTGTTTTAATTTATTGATATAATAATTTGCGTATAGACAAATGTATAATATCATTGATCCTATATATCTTTTATATTATTGATTGATTACAAAATATTTATTTATTATATTCTTTTTGGCTTTTCAGGGGTGAGGTTGGTTTATGTCTCTGGTTTGTTTTTCTTTTCTTTTTCCAATGAAGTTCCCTCGTACATCGAGCTTCACTAAACCATAAATCATGATCCTAAAAATCCTTTTAAAAAATGAACATATGATAAGATAATCAAACGTATTATGCGATTTGTAATATTGTAGTGTGAACGGAGGATTTAATCACCAAAATAAAAATTAAATAATAAACTAGTGGTAAAGAAGAAGTAGGTTTAAAAGGAAAAGAGGTGCAAATACCGCATAGAAAAAAGAATCAAGAGTATCAATTGAATTAGTATAATAATATTTACGTATCTCTTGCATATCTTAATTAATACTTTGAAGGAATCGTGGTTTTGAATGAAGAGAATGTGTTATAAACCTCACTGTTTAGAAAAAAAATCATGATAATGAACAAATGTGTTACATACGTAATATTATTATAGTGTGAATAGAGGATTAATTAACAAGATAAAAACGTAGTAATTAAAAAAAGAAGAAGTAGATTAAAAAAGAGAGGAGATGCAAATACAACAAAAATGAGGTACCAAAATAGAAATAAGAAAAAATATATGAAACCTCAACTACATCAAAAGTAGAGCTACCAACCCAATCCAGCACTAACTTAATTGTAACCACTCGTCTTTCTCACCAACTCGGTCAAATACCCTTTTGCCAAAATAAAATTAATTTAATCAAAAACCAAAGGGGCCCCGAGTCAATTGCCCCCTTCTCCTTATTATCTCTTCGTTTATATTTTCCTCTCTTCAATTTCCTACATCGTCTCAACACACAAACTCACTCTCCTCTCTCTCTTTCTTTCCATTACCAAGAATTTCCTATTCCCCCTCTTTCTCTTTCAACAAAAACAAAAAACTGAAACATGGGTAGATCTCCTTGTTGTGAGAAAGAACACACAAACAAAGGCGCATGGACTAAAGAAGAAGACGAGCGTCTCATCAATTACATCAAACTTCATGGTGAAGGTTGCTGGAGATCTCTTCCTAAAGCTGCCGGTATGCCATTTCCAGAGAGAGTTTTATTGAGGATTCATTGTTAATTTGGTAATCATTCTTCATTAATTATTTTTTTGTAGGTTTACTGAGGTGTGGTAAGAGTTGTAGACTTCGATGGATAAACTACTTGAGGCCTGATCTCAAAAGAGGAAACTTCATTGAAGAAGAAGATGAACTCATCATTAACCTCCATAGCTTACTTGGAAACAAGTATGTGAAAATTCCCAACCACATAGTTTTCTTTTTCTTTTTTGTTTTTGTATATAGTCTATTTAAGATTTAGAGAAAATGAAGAATCTTTTTTATGGAATTAAAGATGAGATTGTTGGAATATATTCTCAGGTGGTCTCTAATCGCTGCAAGGTTGCCTGGAAGAACTGACAATGAGATCAAGAATTATTGGAACACTCACATAAAGAGAAAGCTTTATAGCCGAGGAATCGATCCTCAAACTCATCGTCCACTCAATTCAGTCATCACTTCTACACCTAAGAAAAGAAGCAACAATAATTCAAGCTCCAACAACACAAATACTACTTCTACTGCTGCAAACGACAACGTTGTTTTTCAGATAAATATGCAAAAAACAAAGAAGCAAGAAGTTTCGGAGTTAATTGTGATGAGTAACATAAATAATGAAAATGAAGATTCAAATAGTAGCAGTGGTGTAACGACGGAAGAAGTTTACCCAGAACTGAATCTCGAGCTCTCCATAGGCCTTCCTGCACAACAGAATCCGATTATTTCGAGTTCTTGTATCAAAGTAAATGATGAATCTTCAAATCAGAAAAAAAAGACTGGGGTGTGTTTGTGTTGCAATCTAGGTTTTCAAAATAGCCAGGCGTGTAGCTGTAAGCCCAGGGCAATAGCAACTAGAATAATTACACCTCAAAATAATCTTTACAGATATTACAGTTCGCCCTTGGATTCTTGAAATTTAGGCCAAACTTTTGGTGGTCACATGATAATTTGTGGTGGAAAAGAAAAGAATATCATATATATAGTTGTAAGATTCCGTAACTTACTTAGAAATTTTGAGATAAAATTCTTATATATATTTATATTTTTTTTGGGATTTTATGCTTGATTCGATAGCCTTCTTTTACATCTAATATTACAGTGTCAATTAGAAGCTTAGCTATAGCTTCGATTCAATGGTCAAAATATTCATATGTTTGAACATTAAATCGGTGATGACTTTGGTTGTTAGGCAATTCTAATTAATGAAATTTATTACCTTTTTTCATGTACAAGTGAGAAAATTCAAACTTGTTTGCCCCAGTCTCTTTCAGTTTTGTTGGTGCATTAACATTTAGCTCCAATCAACTGTATCCTTCCTAATTTACAAACATGGCATGCTAATTAATTTTATTTATTTGAATTAAAGTGATCCTCAGAGCTGAATAATCGACCTGTTGAAACAATCTTAATTTGAATGATTTTCCATATTACAATATTAATAGATGGAAAAATTAAAACCTGGATCTGACCAAAAATAATAAATGAGGGAAATAAATAAAAGTACGTAGGGAATTAGATAGATGTTGGTGAAGTATAAAGAGTTTGGGATGGAAGATGAAGATGAGAAAGGGGGGTCTTCGTTGGTCGATGGGTGATGTCAGAAACACAACTACTCCTGTCTCTTCTCATCAATTCCTCCTCTCCTCATTCTTGTCTTTTTAGGTGGCCTTTATTATTCAAACTCTTTCTTCTATTCTATTATTTATTTCTTCTTCATTTTTTGGAATTCTTTCCTCAATCCCTGATTATTGATTCTTGTGTCCGGCTAAGTAGTGAGTCAGGATTCATATTAATTTTAACTCATCTCTCCTAAGCTCCGTTAGGTAAGGAAATTATTAATCCATCAGATTCGAAACCATCAATAAATAAAGTTGCAGTTGGACTTCCCCATGATCTAGAACTCCATTAAACCTTAAAAATTTAAATATAATAACATCTCTAATACTCTTTATTTTAAAAAACATATTTCACATAAATAAAAAATATTTTTATTAATTTCTAAATATAAAGAACAAAATTTATATTCAAATCTAATAGACTCTTTAAATTAGACTTAATAAAGATGAGAAAGACTTAAAGATCATTTCCAATGATGCTCTTTATTTTATAGAGCATCTTTCATATAAATAAAGAGTATCTTCATTAATTTTTAAATATAAAGAACAATTTTTTTATTCAAATCTAATAGACTTTTTAAATTTAATGAGGATGCTCTTTATTTTCAAGAAAAAGACTTAATAGGAGAGAGAATTCATAAACAAAATGTATAAAAATTTGTAATTTATTAATTAAAATTAGAATAGAGAGTGAAATTTGACTTTCTAGATGTGGAGAGTCAAATTCGATTACTCTTTAATTTATATTTAAAAGATAAAGAGTCTGTTGGACTCTTGTTTTTATGGATATACTTTTTATAATAAAGAGTTTGGATCATATAATGATTCCTTTGGAGATGCTCTAATAAAAGAGAGAATTAAGAATAAAATGCATAGAAACTTACAATTTATTAAATAAAATTAGGATAGAGAGTCAAATTTGACTCTCTAGATGTAAAGAGTCAAACTCACACTTTAATTTATATTTAAAGAATAAAGAGTATACTAACTCTTATTTTTATGGACAAACCAAGGATTTAAAACCCGACCCAAGGGGCAACCTAGCCAAGCCACTAGGTCACAGGTTTGATAGGTCGAACGGTCTGACCGGCGAGTCGGACCGTGACGTCAGCAAAAAACCAAAAAATAAAAAAATAATTTTAAAATGCAGATTTTAATTTTTAACAATGAGAATAAAAATTTTCAATTATTTTTTTATATTTTACTATAGTAGACTCGGTTTATACTGATTGGACCGGTGGTTCATCGCAAAAAAACCGATCCAATCGCGGGTGGAAGCGAGTCAAATGCTAATTCCAGTTTTTTATATGAACTGACCCGGTCTAGCCACCGGTTCTTGGTCGAATCGGTTCAACCGACTGGGCCGGGCCAGCTTTAAAACCATGGGAGAAACTCTTTACAATAAAAAGTTTGGATTATATAAAGAGTGATTTGGAGATGCTCTTAAAGTTCCATATTTCAACTCTCAACGGCGATATTTTATTCCTACAACAATTAAAGAAAAATAGTTTGTACTTAAGTCATATATAATTTGGTATTTCCCATTTTTTTTTCTTTTAACAAATGGCTTGAAGAAAAATTGTTATTAAGAAATAAAAATTTCCCTTTCAGGCCTACACTTTTTGACAGACTCTAATTCTTAAAAACAATATAATAAATAATAAAAACAAACAAACAAAGGAAGGTGTATAGATAGAGTCCATTATAATTGATATTTTAATGAATATTTTTTCTTAATACTAAATCAGTCCATAAATTAATAATTGATTATTGATTATTGCCTTAGAAATGTCAAAAAATAGTCTACCATCAATCAATTAATATTTGATTATTTAATTTTCCACTTAATCGTCATGAAAAGAACAGAAAGAAAGAATCAAAATATGCTTAAAGAAATTAAAAAAAGAAGAAAATGACGGAAAAGAGTTTTCATAGTGATTTGTAACGATAAAAATGTATTAAAAAAAAGCAGTGGTTGTGGACACAACTAAAATATATATATATATAGTAGAAGAAAGAGGACCACCACCAGTAAAGTAATAGTAATATTATTATTATTAAAGGAAATAAAAATAACATGTGGATGCAATACGCCTGCCTTTCTAGAAGGCTTTGGCAAAAAATAATCTGCCCTTACTCCCACCCAACTCTTTTGTTCTATTCTGAATTTGTCACTTTTTATAATATAAGAAGATTGTATTCATGGTACTTCACCAAATCATATTGCACTACCAACAGTGATCCATAACTCTAACCAATGATTTTTTTTTTTTTTAAATATTCATCAAAATGGTTTATTCCATTTTCTTCCTTATGAGATTTATTAGAATTAACTTATTTGTTTTGTTCAGAATATTTTTGATATATTAAATTGGGCTGTATATTATTTTGGACTTAATATATTACTAATAGGATTAAGCTAATGTATTTCAAAATTTTGATAGAATTTTGTAACATAAATCTTTGTGCATTCATTCAAAATAATTCATGGTTTAGAAGTTATTGGTGATTGAGTCAAGACAAGTAATTATTTTATTATCATATTATAATATTAAACGTACATAAATAATATCCAACAGATGTATATTATGTTATTGGTTTCACGAATACATACTTTTGATGTTATCAATAATCTATTGATTAGTAAGTCTTATATTAATACCAACCCAATATATACTTTGAACGACTCTTTTAATTACAAAACATATGGTTTCCACGTTTCATGTGTTTGGCCTTCAAAGAAAGCAGTCACGATGGTGTGGTTGAAAAGGATAATTCAGACCAAAAGGATTTAGCCTATTGAGAACAAGTGAATTAATATTCATATAAAAATTTCGAAGAATTATAGTTGGAAAATTTTATTTTTAAATATTTTGCTTCATTGATTGGATGTAACTTTATGTTTAGTGTCATAAATTTTGTATATAAATCATACATCACATTATTTATTTTCTATATTAGAGTTCAATGTATCCCCATATATTTTAATCGAATTGTGTATTTGAATAAGGATTGCATCAATATTCTTTTTATTTTTTTAATTTTATTGAGTACAAGTTATTTAATTTGTTAATACGTAATAAGACACATGCCTTGATAAATACTTATAACCATGCACCAATTAATTATTTTATTGGGCTTACGGTGAATGTTTTTAATTTATAGTAATAAGGAAAAAAAAAAATCAGTTCTTCTATGATGGACACTTGTATGTCAAACATTGCAATTCCTTTTAAAAATATGAAGAAACATACGTAATGGCTTATGGCTACATAAGCGAACATGTTAATAAATAAAACTAGTTATTGAGAATACCATAAACAATAAGTGACAGATGTATCATACAGAAGCTATATTAAGCAATTATATCCTTCTAAAACATTTAATTATTAAGGCAGATTAATGACTACGCAGTATTTCTTAATTGAAAGATTAAACTATTGTGTTAATTGAAATATATTTTAATCTAGCTATTAGAATATTAATTATGATTTCAACTACTTATTCTACTTGCAACGTATGGTATTGCGTAATTGACTAAAAAAATAAATTAGTTATGAAAGTTTCTGGATTTATTTATATACTCATTTACTTTAAATTTTTTAATTCCAACTTTTAGCTTAATTGTATATTTTAAGAATATTTCATATAAAATCACTTAAAAGCAAGTTGGTCAAGGGTGTGTTTGCATTATTGTCCTAAACATTTATTACATGTTTGATCTGTAGACTAGGAATCAATGGAATGAAAATAATATGTGAATAGAAATTAATGGAATGAAAGTATTATGAAGGAATAAAATGCTATTATCTTTTTCGTTTGAAATTAGGAAAGTAGTTAAGTCTTATACTTGGAACATCGCTAAAGTGGATTGCTTAAAAATATATAGAAGGGAGAAGGAAAAAGCAAAGCTTGTAGGGAGCGTTCCTATAAAATATGCTTAACTTCTGATATATGGATTTCTTTTACGACTGAGGGTATATTTCTTTAATCACTTATTACATAGATGAGAATTGGGTGTTACAAAATTAAATTCTCAACTACTGCCACATTCCTTCTCCACATTCAAGGGTTCTTTTGATAGATAAAGTGTTTGGTTTCTTAAAAGAAAGGGGAATTGAAAGGAATTTTTTTTTCTTTGGACAATGCAAGTAATAATGATAAGATGAAAGATATGTTAAAGAGTCAACTTTGTGTGCAAAATGCTTTGTTATGTAGTAGAGATTTTTTCCATGTGCGATGTTGTACACATATCTTAAATCTTATTGTTCAAGTGTGAAACATTCTAAAGGATCTGAGGGTAAACGAATCAAGTTTGGAGAAGTACTTGTTGAACAAATTGGTGTGAGAAGC